GGGGGGGGGGGGGGGGGGGGGGGGGGGGGGGGGGGGGGGGGGGGGGGGGGGGGGGGGGGGGGGGGGGGCACGTGCCCCTCCTTGTCCCCCCGACTCTATGCCTCTGAGACGAACGGACTGTCAGTTTTGGAGGCGGTGTACGTGATTTCTTGATATCGTGAGATATCAAGAAATCAGCTGTTAATGCTGCACGACGCACACGAGTCGATGGACTCGTATGTCATAGCGGTCAATAGCTTGGATCAGGAACCGTAGTCTGTGAAAATCATAGACGTGTACTAGGAAAATTCCTCGTAAATGTAAGATGAAAGTACATCTTACATTTGAAAGAGATTAACACGAGCTCACATTTTTCCTTAGAGGGAAAGTAATGAAATGGATAAGATATAATTAAATCAAATAACGTGCTCTCCTAAGTCTGTTCCAGAACCTCGCTTAAACCTCTGATGTATTTCGCCTTTCCCCACGAGTGGAATCATTTTGATGCCAATAGGTGTCAGCCAGTGGCGACTCGAGATATGCCGCAGTAGTAGTTCGGTGGAGACAGGGGAGGCCGGCCTCCTCCGTCTCCTCTGGGGCTGGGCTCCTCCGTCTCCTCTGGGGCCGGCCCCCTCCTTCTCCACCCACGAACCACTACTGTTGCATATCTCGAGCCGCCAATGGTGTCAGTGTATTAGCGATGCAGCGCATTCAAACAATAAATATATCAACTCGGGAAAAGAAATAGCCACTCTTTCGGAAGCATTCGATGAAGGGACGAGGAATTACCTCGACGGCATTCTTTCGTGTCGAGATACTTCTGCGTCGACGTTGTTCCTGACGTCGTCATTCCGTCGTTCTTCAATTGTCGAACAGTCTTGTATCGATGTTATTCTTTTCGGCGTTATTCCAGGACACCATTCAGACCATGCCAGTGTATAAGTGGAGTATTTTACAGGGGGGGGGCCTGGGGGTTGCCTTGCCCCCCTTGACCCTTGAGCCAAAATACGCCACTGTAATGTGTCCATGTATACCCACTCAAAAAAGAAACGCATATTTGAAATATGATTATATATTAAGTACTGTTCAATGAAGTTACGACATTTAGCTGTTAATTCAAGTAGGGCGGCGAGAAATTAAGTGTTTAACACCGATTTGCTCTTTAATATGCACGATCTGTAACCACTTGTGCATGAATTGAAGATTTACCTAACAATCTAGTAAAACGCATGTGGATACCATTCGTTCAATGAAACCCAGTGCAATGTCGCGTAATTCTGTTTTCAATAAAAGGGCTAGGTTCTTGTCAATGGGTAAGCAGTCGTTGTAATACAGCACAGCCGTCAATGATGCCGATACCCTCACAGGCAGCTTGCAATAATGCTATAATGAGATTGGAAGCTAGTGAATCCAGTTGCAAGACATTTTAACGTGCACAAGAGCACCGTCTCAAGGTTATAGGACTGGTTCCAGGAACATGGTTCGACGTGTGACGGTCCACGCTCTGGCAGATCACGCATCACCACCCCTGCGCAAGGTCAGTACATTCGACTCGGACATCTGCAGGATCGGTTTGCTACTGCAACCTCTACGGCATCAACAGTGCCTAGAGGGTGGAAAATGTCGGCTTAAATCAACTGCAAAGCGCATACGGCAGCAAGTTTGAGATTACGACAGCCACTTTGTGGGTTTTTTCTGCAATACCAGAACAGGCGCCTTTTTTGAGTCGTGTCAAAGGCATAGGGTATGCTCTCAAATGCGTTGGAAAACAGTCATATTCAGTGATAAGTTCCGATTTCTTTCGAGAGGTACTGATGGTTGCATCAGGACTGCGCACTGTAACTAAGCGTTTCTCTTTTGAGTGAGTACATATCCGCGTCGGCGACACTCCCGTCTTTCATGTTCCGTGTCGGCATACGCAGTAAATCCGGGCACGTTCCTGTCGAACCGAATCCGCGTCCGCACATTTCCTTCGATTTGGTTCCGACAAGCAGTTTCGTCGAGGTAATTCTTTTCGATGTTGTTTCCTGTCTAGTTCCTTTTACGTCGATGCGCTTCCAGTTCGATGCCGTTCTGTGGCCCCGTAGTTCCTGTCGATGTCATTCTGGGCTGCTTCTCTCGTGTGGCGGCGCTATTCCGTGTCGATATACTTCCGTTTCGGCACTATTCTATTCGGCGTTATTCCTACGCACCGTCCAGGCACGAGTGCACCAGGAGTGTCCAGGAGACACAGGTTTTGTCCCCTCTCTCCCTCCTTCTCCCTTTCGTATCTAATGTGCCGGGAAAGAAACTCCTTGCTCCCGAGATAATTTATTTCCCACGACATGAAAACATTCAATATTCTATTTCTAACATTATTATGTACAGCACATGCGATGCATTTGGGGTTAAAAACACCGAAGATGAAAAAGTTGACAAAGACCCACGAGATGAGATTCGTGTCGAGATCGGAAAAAGGATCGAAGAGTCGGACTTTGTATGTCTTGTGATCACAGAAAAGTCGTATGAATTATTATTGATTTCGATTGCTTGAGTGGTCCCAGAGAAAACACTGGAAAAGGAAAATCCTGAGAAACGGAAAGGATCACAGACCAAGAAAGGCAAGGAGCAAAGGTGAAAAATCGTGCTTTGTGAGTTGTAACACGCCACGTTCCCTCTTTCTTACTTTCAATCTCTTTGGTGCTTCGCTTAAAAACAGGCTCGTATCGCCGCCAGAACTTCCTCTTTTCTGTTGTCGGCCTTTTTTTTTCCCCCGAAAGGATAAGGTATTCTGGCCGATGCGAGATTAGATGGCGAAGTAATCCTTTTCGGCTTCGCCGTCAGGAAGTTTCTGATACTTGACCTTGACCCTGGACAAGCACATTCCGCAAGCCTCGTAGCAGGGAGAGATGCAGGCGTGGCAGAAGATCTCGCAGCAATTTCTCACGACGGCGCAGTTGATCTTGCACGAGCGAACGCACGCACTGACGCACCAGATGTGCTGTCGAGCGAAAGAATCCCCATTGCGAAAAAGAAGAAAGGAAGAGAGGAGGAAGGGAAAGAGCGGGATGGAGGACGTACGCAGAAGGAGAGGATGGCGAAATGGAATCCTTGACAGAGAGCGATGATGGGAGCGACGAAGAGCGTGAGGCCCATGTAGCAGAAATTCTTGGATCCCTTGAAGCAAGTGTTGGACAGGCGCCACACGCAATCCAGGCTCCTGATCCCATCCGGCTCCGCAAACACATCGTCGTAGCTCACCTGATACGACGATCACCATCGCATTTCACGACTACGCCTTTCCACGTGTGAACGTCACCGCGAAATCGACAAGACTGGACTCTCTCTACGAGAAGTGCGGGCTCGAGAAAGGTATTCGGCTGAAGTCGAAAACGATATGCGGATGGCTTAAATTTTCTACTCGTACCTGAATGCTCCACTCGGAATGGGAGTTGGAATCCATTTCGTTGAATGACAAAAAATGGGATTTTTGCCCTGCTGTCGCTACGCTCGAGATTTCTGACTCGAGCTAAAAATGCTATACGAAGAGAGCTCGCCTTTTTCAAAATCATCCCAGATCCAGTGAGAGAGAAAAAAAAAGTCAGTGAGGCACATCCCTCGTAGGTTTAGAGTATTTCGATACGGAATGCACTCGCAGATACCCTTTGGAGGTTGAAGTGAGAGTGCGGCTCCCTCGGCTCGGTAACAATTGTCGACCCCCAAAAGAAGAAAAGAACAGAATCAGCATGAACTCGCCTGAAGGTGAGAGTTGATGTTGTTAGGGTCCCTCTGGTTCATGTCCAAGGCCGCCATTTCTGCCATACAATGGAACGACTGCCAATGGACCAGTGGCGGCTCGTAGGTTCAAGACCTGGAGGGGGGCTGCAAGGGCTGCTGCCGCTGGGCGCATGATACCAAGGGCAGGAATCAGTCGAAATTTTACCTCTCGTAAAACACATGAATCTCGTAAAACTCGCAATGAATATTGTGCAGTGAATTTTTTTTATGACTTAAAGCGAAATTTAAGACCAATAAATGCAACGATCGCAGACATGCGGCTGGCGCCAAGGCACCAGATTTTCTTTTTGCGCGGGAATGTTTCTCCTAGCAGACGCAACGCAAGGAAAACTGACTGGCGCCGGCGCGCTATATGGACGAAAAGAGGGATGAATATCCAATGGCTTTCCGTGACAGGAATGTCGTCGTCGGACACCTCGAACTCGTTTTGAATCGGAGATGTCTTTTCCGTTGTGGTTTATCTATGACTCGAAACCAGCCGGTGTCTTGCAGTCGGTTAGGACGGTCTCGGTTAGAACGAGACCTCGGTTAACAACCAAGACCTCTAAAGCCCTTATCACAAGTCTATGCCTCGCTCGTGACCAGCTTGGTCATCGTGAGAGGTTCGATTACGGGGAACTCTATTGTTTTCCCACTAACAAAATTGACAACTTCTTGAAGTTATTTATTCACTTCTCACGGATTGGAAACTACGGCGTTGGAAACCATGACGATTTGAAATCCCTAACTTAACTTTCTCTGGCAATTTGATGCATGCATCAGGCTGATGCATGAAGTCGATACACGTGTCCCCATTCCACCGGCATTAAAAAAAGAAAAAAAAAAAATGCATTTGCCCCAGGCAGAGCATGACTGTGGAACTATACGGTTTCAAAATAGCCTCTTTATATACGTGGTCTGATCAATAAGTTCCAAGACTGAATTTTTTTATGACGTTGTGGTGACGCTTTCCTACTACTGATGGTTATATCCTTTGAAGTAGTCCTCTTCGGCATCTATATAAATTTTCCGGTGTTTCTTCAGCCGCCGGAAGGAATGCTGATACTCGTCTATTTGGAATCGCCAGCAGCGCTCGCGTCGCGTTTGTACTGCTGCCATGAATTTTCTGAAATCTCCTTCCTTTTAGCACACTCTTTAGCTCATGGAACAATAAGGAATCACCGGGAGCCAAGTCCGGCGACTAGGGTAGACGATGAAGGGATTTACGGGGTAGGTGAGAAATATCTGCACGGCCAAGACGTGCTGGGCCTCGTCACGTTGCAGAATCCACGACTTTGCCTCCCGCTTTCCTCTTTCATGCGAACGGCGACGCGCAGACAAGTGAGAACGGCGAGGTAATACCTGAAGGGTAAACAGTGATTTAGACTCACTACCTCACCGCGAGAAAGAGAAAAAAGGGAGAGAAACTTCGCCTCCCACTTTCCCCACTTTTCGGAATGAGAAAAGTGGGAGACGAGGCGGTGGATTCTGCAGCATGACAACGCCCAGGCTCAGCACGTCTTCTCTGTGCAGCGATCACGCATTTCGGTTCCAAAGGCATTCTGCCGCAAAATATGTCGGCACTCTGGGACACCGATTGGCATTAAGGGACTCCGAAATTCAAGCAGGCAGAGTCGCACACAACGGAAATAGGCAAAATGGGAGCTGGTGCTTACGGTATCAAACCGCGTTTCTCATCCCGACACAAGGGATTGTGAAGATCGTCAGCCTTGAAAAGGTGCGTACAGTTACTGCAAATCGGTGCACGCACGTTTTCTTGTCTGCTGTTTGAAGCTCAGGAGGCAATGAACCAGGTGTTGTCGACCTTCACCACAGAAGACTTCAGAACGTGCTTTAAAAGCTGGTTCGAGAGAATGAAAGCGGCGTACACGGTGAGGGCAGATACTTTCAGATTTGATAGAAGTCTCGAATAAAAAAATAAGTTTCTGGAAGCATGGGCGTTGCAAGACTTTTGGAAGAACCCTCGCAGACAGAAAAGTTGAAGAACGAAGGAAGAAGATGGAAGAAATTCCCTTTTCTTTTTCCCTTAAGCCGCTTCGCCTCTTCCGCTATTCTTCGGTCTTTAACCCCTTAAGTTTCTCTGACAGAAGTCTTCCACTGGAGTCAGGAGTTTGTTCCGTGAGAGCAATCATAAGTGGTTGTGAAAGAAATTTACTACCCGTTTTCGAGTTTATAAAACTTACTTTTATTTCGAGTTTCGAATTTATCTTCAACTCAAACTCGAAATATAGCGCGACGAAAAAAAAGGTGAAACCCACCTGGTGAGCGTTTCGCCGTGACGGATAAATACGTCATACCCAATTAAGGGATAGACTGAGGCCATGCCTTCGACGAAGGTTGCCTTTTTTATTTAACTATTTTAATGTCGTACCGGATGTCAAAATAAACATCGGCTCATTATCCGCATCTTGCGTGTATGCGCCGTGTTTAGCTTAATCATGGAGATGAATTCAGCTTTAAATGTTTTTACCTGAACATGAAGGCCATTATCACCCTGCAGTAGAACCAGAATCTTAGATTGGGCCCAGATAAAGCCATTCTTCCTTGCGATCGGTGTCGAAGGAGAGGGGAGATTCTACGCGAATCGGGTCTTCCACAACTAATGGGAAGCAGTTATTAAAGTTATTGTGCATGGTTTTGAATCGTACTACAGGTACCCCGAAGTCCATATTGGTCGCAACTGTTCGTGGAATAAGCAATTATGTTGACAAAAGTATTTCAGTTAGCTTTGTTTTCCTGCGTCGCCGTGAGACGGCGACCCGACTCACGCGCCGCTAATCGATACTTCCAGGAATCACGAATGCAATTTTAAGCAGATTGTTGGAGCAGGAATATCGTAGCAAGAGCAGTGACGCTCGTCGCAGCCCATCTATTAATCTGACATCTATTCGATACGGTCTCATCGAGTAGGTTTTCATCATCGCACAGTGGGACATAACCCCATTTTCCTGACCTAAATTCAGAAAGTCGAACTGTCTGGTACGATTCTGATTCACCTAATAATAGAAATTTCGAAAATTGCGATGACTTTATAAAAAGCTGAAGCCGTTTTCTAGAGAGAACGGTGTGAACTTGAAAATCCGACAATCCCTCCGCGCCCCGATTTCTTCAGGTTAGAAAGAAACCAACTTGTCCGAAGAAGAAAATTGTGATCGATCTGTTTGGACTTGAAGGAGCCTTCTAGGACTAAGTGCTTTCATGTTGCATGATATCATATTCATTAGTTACATTATTATGGGCGCGGTGCCCATTTATCTCAACTCTAATATTCAACCACTGCTCCGCCATATTTTTTGTGCACTGTAAAAACAAGGCGATCGAGTGCGATGAAGATTTGGGCATATCTGGAATCTAACGTCAGCATCTTTGTAACCACATGAAAACTAGCTGCTACCTCTTGCTACTCTGACGATAGGAGGGAGAGTGAGAGAATAGGAGTCTCCGAAATGAAGAATCGACTATGATTGAAATCCTCCGGGATCTCTGCCGTCATTTGATTCTGACCATGAACCCGAAAGACCTGGAATCGGATCGGAACGGAATCCGGAGCGATGGAGCATCGCTACTCGCTCCTACCGGTCTCCTCGATTCCCTCCTCCTGTTGCCGTCAACGAGCGCCTGTCAGACCGTGGGAGGTCGGAGGAGGATGCTGGATGCTCACCTGAGACGAGATAGAAGAACGACCCCGACGATGGCGTTCGTGCTTCGAGGAGGATCTTCACTCGAGATGTGAGGGTCGGTGTGGAGCAGGAATGGAATCGACTGGTGGACGTTACCACGGCAACGAAGCAACAACGCGGACCCACGACCCGTTTTGCTCCAGTCGATAGTTCTCCAAACTACGACGTTGCCCGTTGTTGCACCACTCATCTTCGCCTTTCCGCGAAATCGTTCCCGTCGGGACGAGTGAACGTTATGCTTCGGAGATGAATCCCAGTTTTTCTCGCGTCGAAACCAGTCGAAACGGCTTCGTTAGCGAAGTTAAATGCGAATCGGATCGATGTCACTGTCGTCAGAAAAATCGTAGATGCTTTGGATTTCTTCGGTGCGGCGTCGAGACGACTTCGATACCGAAGATGCACGTATGATCTCGGTTCGTTCTTCGAGATCGTAGAAATGAAATTTCTAAGCGAAAAATACCATTTCTCTCTTCGCCCTGTGCTACGGACGGGGGTAGTAGCGAGGTGAGCCCGTCGGGCACGGGTTCGCTGCCGTTTGCGAGATGCTCCGACTCGGACCGCGTCCGTGTCCATGTCCGACGACGGAAGCGTTCATATCTCGCTCTTTTTTCCTCTCTAGACTCTTCAAAGTGCAGCCAAGTGAAATGAATTTGACGGAAAATTCTCTCTTTCCTTCTCAAATCTTCTATCGCGCGAAGGGATTTTCTCGAATCTCGGGCAACGTATTTCCTTCTCTCTCCTCTTCAAATCGACGAGGAATTTACAGCCGAAAATGATTCGCTTCGATAAACATGCTGCAGCTTTGTTGTTCATCTTGCATCTCCGAGAGATAGACGCGAACACTTCGAACGATTTTCGGAAAATTTCCGGTTCCTCACTGTACAAATTTCCGACCGTAAACCTGGATTATCCCCTAATGCTCTGAAAAAAATGCTCTGCATTTCCTCGGAAATCCCTCTTCATGTTCTTTGCAGAATTTTTTCAT